GAGGTGGTGCAATGGTTGAGAGCTAATTGAGTGAGGTCTTTTGGCTCTTTATTTTCTATTATAGAGAACAGTTAGTGAGGCCTAAAGGGTTAGTGGTTGGTTAGTAACAGATCGTACTTCTCTGATGCAAAAGTTGCCTTGCTATGGAATGAGGATCCCAGTTTTCTGGGATTTATGGAATTTTTAGTTTCCACTATATTTTGTGCTGCATTGGTTATTTTAACATGAGCATAACATTTTATAGGTTTTGTTGTTTTTGTTTTTTCATTAAAAAAAAAGTCTTTTAGCACTGCTACTGATGTTTTCACAGTGTTACTATTTCCTTATACAAAGAACTACACAATCACTTTATCCCCCAAACTACTTTTTGCTTTATAAAGAATCAACCTAATAGACTGGCGATATGAACTGTTCAGATTTCGCAAGTTAAGCTGTGCAGATCAAAGAGTGACTTACATGAATTGCTTTATATATTAGTGTTGACAACCCATGACCAATTATGTCAAAACAAGTATATATCTGTGTCACCCAAAGAAAATACATGAATTTTATAGAATATTTTAGTCAGATTTATGTTTTGGAGGATGATTTCTATATAGTTTAATATTAAGCCTGTAGGCATAGATTTTATTTGAGGTAACTACAGTTTATAGGATATGGTAGCAATATTAATTGATTTTGTAATATGGCTATTAGTAGTCCAACTTTTTCATCTGCTGAGATAAATATACTAAGGAAGCAATTATAGTTCTCTTGATTTTTCTGGTCTGATTTTAAATCAGTCTGGCCTTGGCCAATCTGAAATCAAAATCAACTGTTCTTTTTATTTGGAATGATGGGGCTTCATAAGCATTCAGGGATATTTTCTTTTTCTGTAGTTCATAAATAAATCTAATTATTATTATTCTCAGTGACTGCATCTAGACTGGCAAGTTTTTCCACAAAAGCAACTGCTTTTGCGCAAAAACTTGCCAGCTGTCTACACTGGCCGTTTGATTTTGCGCAAAAGCACTGACGTTCTACTGTCTGAAATCAGTGCTGCTTGCGCAAATGCTTTGACGTTTCCGTTCGGGCAAAAGCCCTTTTCCCGAAATGTTTTTGCACAAGAGGGCCAGTGTAGATAGCTAAAAACTTTTGCGCAAAAAAGCCCCGATGGCGAAAATGGAGATCGGGGCTTTCTTGCGCAAAACCGCATCTAGATTGGCACGGACGCTTTTCCGCAAAAAGTGCTTTTGCAGAAAAGCATCTGTGCCAATCTAGACGCTCTTTTCCGCAAATGCTTTTAACAGAAAAACTTTTCCATTAAAAGCATTTGCGGAAAATCATACCAGTCTAGACATAGCCAGTAACTTTCAGTGCTGTTGCTTCATAGGAATTTTGAATTATATTTCACTAAACATTTTTGAGTGCACTGATTTACTGAATATTGGTATTATGAGCCTCAGTTAATTAGTAAGTTAGTAAGCCGTGCTGTCAAAAGTTGACACATTTATTTTATTATTTTAAACCCTTTTCATTTTATTCTGAATACTCACTAAGGAATTCTTACCTTCTATTTCCTTTCTTCCTGAAACCCAGCTCCTTTGTCAATTCAAAGACATAATAATTTGTGGCCTCTCAGCCCTTTCTGTTCACTTTCTGTACTGCAGGAGTGGGGAGCTTTTTTTGGGTTGAGGCTGCTGATCTAAAGAAAAATCCATCAGGGGCCACACACAAGTGAGAGGCAGTCTTCCCCCCCCACACACACACCCTCACTGACATGGCCTCTGACTGAAAATGAGAAAGACATTCCCCTCACATGCCAGATCCTTTAGGGAGCCAAAGTTAGTCGATTTTGTGCACTTCACCCCTGTGGGAGATTAGTTTTTCCCACCCCTGTCCTACTGGGTCCCATACCCTTGAAGGAGATGACATATAGAATAGAAAACTAATGCTAATTATACCACTGAATGAAGTGCCTCCCTTGCCTTAATTCTGCTTGCTTCCTTTCTCTTCCCCACTTCCTCTTGGCACTAGTAGCGAATAATTGCTGACTACCCAGATGTTTCTTCCATTCTGCTCCATGTTGTTCAGAACTTTTTGCATAGGCAGCCAGTCATATTGCTGCTACTACTTTATAATCCAAAGAGAACAAAGGATTCCACACTACTGATATTAGGGTATGTGTGCATGTGGCAGTTACATCTACTTATCATTTGTGAGCTCTTCTTTCTTCTAACTCCTGCTGTTACACTATTCTTCATTCTATTTTGCATTTTGGAGCTGACCGTTTTCTTGCTGAGGTGTTTCTTTTCTGCTCTTACTGCTGTTCCCCAGGGAATATTGCTATTGCTTCTACACTTTGACTTTTCCATTTAGTTTTATTTCTGTATCACTTTTCATTTGCGGGAAGTAAGATAATGGACTTCCCCTCCTCCCTTTATTATATATGTTTACAAACATTGTGGTTTTGCCCTGAGGTTTTGCATTAAGAGTTTGACGTTTGCCTTGTGACTACTTGTCATTTGAATGGTGATACAGCATCACAATATTGAGAACTTTTATCATCAGTAAAGTAAATGAAGGGTACTTGGGCTTATATCCTGGAAATTGCATGAAAATTGGAGATTCTGATTTATATAAGGTGTGGGTATGGTTCCCTGTGACCATGGAGGAATAAACTTATATGTCTAATGACAGGACATTTTGCATCTTACTTTCTTATGAAGGCAGTTTGTGGCTTTCCTGTCATATTTTTTCTAAAATTCATTTGTTTTTTATTAACAGAGTCCAATTATTATTCCTTTTCTTATGTTGTAGGTTTTATGTATATAGAACTACTCTTGCTTTTCCTTCAGTTCTTTGACCCCTTTGTTTTGCCAACAACTCAAAGTGGCTACCTAATAGAAATATAAAAATCATCACAATTTCTTACTCAAAATAAAAAGGGATGTGGAAACAGAAGTTGAGCAACTTAAAGTATCAAGCTACTGTTTTTGCCTTGTGTATTTTATATCTCAGGTACACAAATATTGTAGAGATGGAGTTGAATAAATATTTAGACTAGCATATTTGCTGCTGACATCTTCTTGCTATTTTAACCTGTCTCTTTGATAGTGAGCCTTGCTGATTATGTGAAAAAGACTGAATCCTCACTGATATGATGCAGTAAAATTCAAGGCATTTTTTGTCCACCCAGTTCCCCTGGGTGTTAAGGCATAATTTCAGCTTAAGGAAAAAAGAAAACATTCACTAAAAGCTTCTGGCAAAACTCACTTCCCAATCCACTGAGAACTGTATTGACTTAGTGACATAACTATAAAAAGTAGTTCTTTCTTCACTATTTGTGAGATGAGTATTGACTATTTTTTTCTCCCAAGATGAAAACAAATGTTCAATACGTTACTAGTTATACTTCATGCTAGCAATGAATTATTGGCAATTAAGTTGTCAGATCTCCGTACTTTATCTTACAAATACACACAAAAAGTTTCAATAATATTGATGGTGAAAGGCATTACCAAGGATGAAGAAACTAAGTGGCAGACAGTTCTCTGCATAGTCCACTGAGGAATAAAAAGAAAAACAAGCAAGGCAAGATAAAAATATAAAACTAAATTTACTGCTGATATACACTGTTGGAACTCTTTTGAGGATCCCAAACTTGCTTTTATACATGTGGCATGTGACATTGCACTCTTGAGATACCATCTACTGGGTTGTTCACATGTGCACAGTACTATAGTAGATATTGATATTCCAAGGTATGTGGCAGTCTTTGCTGTATATCTAAGGGCAGGATTTAAATCCATTATTATAATCACTTTATTGTGAACATGGGAAAATTTACCCACAACTCAAACTGATTCTGACAGTTTTAGCAGGACTAGTATTCAAAATTGGTGGGAGAAGCAATATAGACAAGGCTCCAAATGTCTGCAAATATTTTTACAGCCATTTTACTTATATCTGCTGAAAAGTAAGTCTAATGGGATTGCTTGGCTGTTTTAAATATAGTTGGATTTTAAAAAAATAGTTTACATTACTTTTTTACTCTGAGACCCTCACACATATTCAGGTAGCTTTTTAAAGCAAGTACTGTAATATTAACTCATCAAAACATGTCTTTTAAGAGACCTGAAAAATAGCAACATACATTTGCTTGGGATACTAGAGCTCTTCTCTATGTGAGTTATTCCAGTGTATCATTCAAATAAGCATGTGTGTGGTGTTGGTTTACCAAGCATTATTTATATGACAGATTCCTTAGAAGCCATTACAATCTGTTATGAAGTTATATATTTACAAATATTTTTAGAACACAGGGCCATCAGTGTGTCTCTTCCAAATATATATTCAGACATGTAATAATCTTGTTAAACTTCCCTGGGAAAAGAAGTTACTGTCTATTTCTGTTTAGAAAACACAGTGATATTTTATTTATATATTTCAATTGCCACATCAAGGTTTGATCACATGGAAAATACCCATGAGCTCCTGAGTTGCGTAGAAGGATACAGACTTAGGTTCTATAACAAACTGGCTCATTCAAGAGAAAAGTTTAGTTTTCTGATTTGGGAAGAAGAACCCTGTAATGTGAAAAAGAGCTTGGTGTATGTAGTTTAGCTTCCCAGACTCCACAGCTTCTGTGCTGGCCTAGCCCCTGATGTCACTTAAAGTTTGGATGTATACAAGGGGAATTTTAATAATAAAGTGATACCACTATAGTTATTCTGGTATAACTCCCAGTGTGAACATTCTTATTCTGGAACTCAGCTCTCACCTCTGTTCGAGCCTACAATTGAACATGATTAGGATGGACCTTTATGAAGTGATGAATTAGACATTAGACCGTGGCTGAAAATTCAAGTTGATGCAGACCCTGGGACTCCATGACTTTCATGAGCCATTAGCCATGGATACTGCTTTCTGGTGACAGGGGCTCCTTATTCAATTTTTAAGAGCTTTTAAGACCTCAAGCCCCTAAACAGTGCTATTCCTAAAATGTTTTTTTTTCATAGTTTGTCCGAAGCAGATATCTGAAGAAGCGTCTTCCAATCGAGACTCAAACCTTACTAACACAACAGTACAAAGCAAGCTAGTGTCTTCCTTCCAGCAGCACACCAAAAAGGCACTTAAACAGGTAAGCTAGTATTTATTGGTAGTGAGGTGGCTTTCTTTTTAACATATTGCTCCGGTGTATTTAAACAATAAATCAATATAGAAACACCACAGAAAGAGTTTAAGATATTTCTAATAAAACTATCAGGAACTTATTTAGCTGGCCATTTTTTTCTTGGTCTGTAAACATCTGCAGTAAGAACTGTTGTGGGGGAAAACATTTGAAGCTTTTGTGTTCTGTGCACTAGTGTTGTAATCCTGCGTATTATACTTGTATTTGAGGGGGTTTTAAATGGTTTCTATGTCAGAGAAAACATTTTGTATATTTTATTGTCACTTCCTAGTTTTGTTTGTATAAACATGTTCATTAACAACCTGTATTAAAATAAAGTTTGCAAAATAGATTTTGAGAGGTTGTAGCACTGAAAGATGAGTGCACTTACTGTTGTTCAGTTTGTACATATCAAATACTGTATTGAATGCTAGAATACAGTACCTGAGAGTGTCTTTATTTTGAATAAACTGAGTTTGGATGGATTTAGTTTACACAATGAATAAATAAAACATGTGACTGAGTATTTGTGGTTTGAGGTAAACTAAACCATTTAATGATGTGAGAAATATGTTCTAACAGTACTAATCAGTTGCATATTAGAAAAGAGTGAATGAAAAATCATAGAAATGTTTCTTTAAAAAATGTCACTCTAATCATGATTTCCACTTGACAAAGCAGAAATGGTTCTCATTTCTTAAAGATTTTTTTAAGAAATAAAATAATTTTTTTCTTAAATATTGGTGTAATGAGGTTATGGTTGGTTTAATTTCCCCCCATTGTTTTCAGTTTACATGTAGCAAAAGGAAATGGTAGTTGGAGCCAATTATCTCAAACACTGGGCCATTCCAAAACTATTAATGTAGGCCACAGCTCAGCAAAACATCTAAGCATGTACTTGTGTTCATCCCTGTTCAACAGGCATTTAAGTACTACAATTTAAGTCCCATTAAAATCAATAGGATTTAAGCAAGTTACTTGAAGTACAGGCCTACATGAATTGCAGAATAGCAGTGATTTGCAAAATTGGAGCTTTTAGGCTCAGTAGGTCAGCAAACATAGGTCAGCAGAAGTAGTGTGGTAGGTGCAGCAGACTTTACTAATTGTGTGGAATATGTGTGAGTTGTGAGTGAAAGAAACTGTGTTTTGAAACTTCATTTAATTTGTATTATCTGTAATACTCAAATTTCAGTAGATACATGTAAGCCATTATTGTTTTACATGAACTCCTAACCGTTAGAGTAGGTAAGAGTCAGCATTTTATCTAAACTCTTAGGTTCAGATTTGTCACTTGCTTACCTTTGGGGGAATAAAAGAGATGGAAAATAGTGAACAAAAAACTGAAATGAACAAAGAACAGAAATTTAATTAACACAACATTTCATAATGAAGATGGAAGTCCTTGCAAAACTGGCCATAGGCCCGTAGGTTTGCAGGGTACCAGATAGCTAAGTAGTCAATAGAAAGAATGGAAAGCATTTACAATTAAGATTATGGTAATGACATTTTATGTTTTCATTTGTGACATTATTACTGCTATCTGCAAATAATGTTTTAACCAATGTACAACATGGTACACTTGGACATATGTATTGGGGCGATGAGATTTTTTTGCACTTCTTTACTTGCCTGTGAAGCAGCAGGTATTGGCCACTGCTAAAGGCAAAATGCTGTATTTGATTTGATTTAATCTGGTATTGCAAATCCTATAAAATAGGTGAATGAACTTTCGACAGCAATTTTATTCAGAAAATTGCTGTGTGAAACTTTATTCACCTACCATATATTTTCTCTTCAGGGTTTCTATTGCTTTTATAGACACATAATATGTCATCTTTGCACAAAGAAGAGTCTGTAGTATGTTTGAATACTCAAGAAACATTAGGCAATTGTATGTGACACTTCACCAGCTGATATTAACTTACCTGTTCCGTTCTGCAATAACAAGAAGTTAAATTTCCATTGTGCTCTTAGAAAGAGCTATGTATGTTGTAGTGTCACAGTGATTGCTTGCGAGTCTGTACATTCATTTTATTCTTTAATAAAACAGTCACAAAATGACAATCCAGAAAGCATTCTTTCAGCTATTTTCATCTATGCCATATTTAAATAAGGGTAAGAGTTTTTTTTTAATTACTTACTTTTTGTCCATTAAAGTGAAATTCAAACTGGTAACATGAAATATTGCTTGAGCCCAGGTGGAGCTCTGGAGTCTGCTCTGTTAATGGAGTTATTAAAACACACATCTTGTATAGAGTTGTTTTTAGAGTATATGTCGGAGTTTGGGTTTTTTCTAAAGATTTCTTGAAATCTTTTGTTTTAGACCACTAAGAGTAGTCTTGGCTTTCCCTGCAATTTTCTGCATCTTAGGATGTGCTTCCCCTTGTGTACGGGATTTCTTGCAGGATAACCAGGCTTTTGCAACTATGTCCCTAGTGAGAGGAGGAGGAGGGCATCTTTTGGGCCTTGACAATAACTGACTCAAAATGGCAGTGGGGAATGGGAATTGTTCTTAGATCCTACTGTGACCTTCTTTCTAGGATAAGGGAAATTGCAGTTCGAGTCGACTCTGAATCTGACATAGCTTTCGTCTTGTGTCCTCATCTTGCATGGCCTAATATCCTAATCCCTGGCACTTTTTTAGCTTTGCCGCTTTCTCTTAAGTGACACTTTTGGGGCAAGTGTTTTGAGTGTTTCAGTCTTGGGTGTGTTTCCAGTTGTGTGGCATATTTGTCTCCCCTTCAGTAGAGTAGGGGGGAGGGAAAAGGAGAGATTTTCACCACTTGACTTTGCTCTTGCTTATAACTGAATGGAGGGCTTCACAACGTTCCTAGTTTACGATGGCTTGCTCTAAAATAGTTCCTGAGGTAGAGCTCCATTTATGTGTGGCTCCTGCTAGCAGGTTCTCCTTTGCTAGATTTTTTTTCTTGGCTTTTGGAGGAAGGTGCATGCCACACAGCTCTTCTTATCCAGCACCACTGTGGAGGCAATGTGGCATGCATTGCCATGTTGTTATGCCTTCTATGATCTTACTTACACAAGAAGATATGGATCTCCTGCCATGCCAGTAACAGTCCACACACACTATTACTAGTTGTGGCACACAGGTAATCACACCACTGCACAGTAAATTGCACTTTCTGTGAGCAAAATTAACTTAACTACAGATCTCAAATGCAGCTGGCATAGTTGCTGTGACGGGCAATTACTTCATACTGCACTGCGTCTTTCTAGTAAAAAATTCTGTTCTGTTGATCTGGGATCAAGTTTTCTGCAAGGCCCTCACCTGTACTGATTGGGCTGCAGCATGCTCTTTAGATCTCATGGCATGCACATTCTCAACAGCATCCAGTTCTTTGCGATGCTGCATTTATCAAGCAGCTCTTGGAGCATTTCTCGGACAAAGCCTTTATATGAGCATATCTACCAACTGGTATGGTGGAGATGATACAGGACATTTGCGAACCTCTGGGATGGTGAAGTGATGGTGTCTACTGAACTGTGTTGTGACCAGGTGAAAAGGCTTTTGCCCAGGAGCTTATCCCATGCTCCATGGGACAGTGCCAGAAGAAGATTGAGTCTGAAGCTGCAGTGCAACAATGTGGGGGATGCCAGTAGACCTTCCAGTCAGGGAAGAAAATCTGCCTCATTTTTTGGCACTTTGGAATTAATGGAGCAGAGTTTCTTTTTGAGGGTGCCATGGCACCCAGCTGTGTGCTGTGGAGAGAAGAGGACACCATCATCCCAGCCTAAAATCTAAGTGAGGACCAGGATATGTTTGCAACTGTGCTGGGGCCTCAAGCCTTCTTGATTGATACAAGTTCCAGAGACAGCAGCCAAATGGGTTTGGGAGGAAGTGATGCTCATGAAATAAGGGGACCTCCATACAAGGTATGTTGCTGCTGCTGTTTTTCCTGTTTGGGCTTTATCTGCATGCTTGATGGCTGGGTTCATCTGAGTGCTGCTATAACTGAACTGGGTAGATGCAGTCTCTCATGAGGGAAGAAGGACCCCCCCACACACTTGCTTTGTTGTGGTAGCATCAGTAGCAGTTCCATTATCCCTTTCTCTAGTGAATGCTGCCAGATTCAGGAGCCCTATCCACATGCCTCACACACGACACCCCTTTTGTCAGCTAAACTTGCTATTCAAAGTAAGGATACAAGTACTTGGCAAATTCTGTGTAGTTATTTGAGCCATGCCACAAGACAAGTTCAACAAAGTGGCCAAGCAGGGAAAACTAAAAATGAAGTTACAGAAACACAGCTATATTGAAAATAGCAAAATGGAATGCTTTCAGAAAGCTACATGATAGGGACAGTGGCTTAGTTCACATGCTGCTTTTGGATAAAAGAACATAAAGCACTTTATCTATTTTCAGCCACATTTCATGCTGTCTTTTTATGAGACACACAGTGCATAAGATTGTTAGTATGAGGTAGCAACCTGCTTTAAAGCAACTATAGGGCAAGATGGTGAAAGCATGGTTCTGTCAGTTAGCACAAGACAGTGGCCTATCAGATAATGGTGTCATTTTGCCCCAAATTTCCCAAGAGTTATTAAAAAAAATCTGATGAAGACAGTGCTGTAGAATCAATCCTTAATTTGGTTCCCAAACCCCCCTCACTTCACTATCTCCATTGCACATCCTGTGTTACCACTTGAGAAAGTAATTACAGCAAATAAATCAGCCTCGGTGCCTGCCCTCTGCACCCCCAGTCACTTTAATAGCAATTCCTTTCCTTGCTAGAATCTAGTACAGAGGTTCTTTCCAGGCATCTTACAGTCTTCAGGAAGTAACCCAGGGCTAGTCTCCACTGTACTGCAGTGTACATCCGTTACCTCCTACGAGGAACATACTCAGACGCCTTCCAGTTAACCTATAATTTCATCTGAAACAAAAATAAAATAAATATTCGGGAGACAATCATTACCATCTTAAATCCTAGCACAGGATATCTGTTTTCGAG